GCACATGGAAGGCAATGAAAACTGGGTATTGTGAGGCTGAGCTGAAAGAGTGTACAAGGAGTGAGCACACGGCAAGAATGCTTGGCAGAGACAGTGGCAACCCAACTGTTGCAAGATCTTCAGCCCCCAAAGATGCGCCCTCCTACTGCCCTACTCAAGGCATATTACCTTACACTGGACTTCCATAGCCCCATGTAGCTGTCTTTTTACTATTTAAAATAATTGTCATTCCACTCCTATTTGTGTATTAATTGAACTCTGTACATTTTGTCAGACTAAAAACTCCAAAGAGCAGGGATTTATTAGTTAGGGACAAAAACAAATTAAACAACCAAGGTTGCTTAATTCACTAGAAGAAATTTTTTCTCATTTGGCTAAAATATAGTTGGAAGTCTTCTATACGGAAGCTATGGGATTCAGGCTAATTGCATGTGAGAAACCTATCATCCTTAGGCATGGGCACTTTCTGGATCTTCTGTATTTGGCCAGCAGCTGACTGAAGAGAAACAACCCATATGAGTTGTTTGCATTGCAGGCAGCAGTTTTACCTGTTATGCCATGTGGCTGGCCCTGCAAAAGGGGTTTTGAGAAAGGCCGTGTCTGAGATACCCTATGTCCTTATGTGTTTGACAGTCTCTTGCTTAGAGTTCTGCAGCACTAGCCATTGTGCACTCAGGTTCTAGAATGTGAGAAATTTTCCACTGATGCTGATAAACTAACTCTCCTAGAATTTCCAAGAGTTCCACTCCAAATCTGTACTTTCCTCTGGATATTTTCCAATCTGAATATGGGCTATAGTTTGTGATTATGATTTCTGATGCTGAGCTAAAATAAATCCATTTGCAAACTGACTAGCATTCAAAGTCCGGGAGTGTTCAAGGAAATTTGTGATTTTGTTCCAGCCTCAACTCCCTTGAAAAGAAAATGAGATGAGGACAAGCTTTCTTTTGGATCGTTTCCCTAGAGATATTCTCTCTACACTTCTGCACTCTGCCTGGGAAACTAAGCTCTGTGAATTGTATCAGTGGTTATTTTTGTGTGCTTGTTTAAAGATTTATTTATTTTTATTAGAAAGTCAGATTTACAGAGAAGGTGAGACACAGAGAAAGACATTCCAGATGGCCACAATGGCCAAAGCTGAGTCACAAGGTTCTTCTGGGTCTCCTAAACAGGTACAGTGTCCCAAGGCCTTGGGCCATCATCTAAGCTTTCCCAGGCCAGAAGCAGGGAGCTGGATGGCAAGCAGAGCAGTTCAAATTTGAACTAGTGTCCATATCAGACCCCAGCACATGCAAGAAGGAGATTTAGCCACTAGGCTATCACACCGAGCCCATCAGTGGGACTCAACCAAGATGATGTTGCTCCCCTGTAATCAAGGGGTGTTTAGGAATATCTGGAGATATGTTGGATACCACAGCCAAGAGCGCTGCTATTAGCAACTAGTGGGTAGTAGCTAGAGATGCTGGATAAACATTCTATGAATCACTGGATACAACAAAGAACTATCCAACACCAAACACAGCATCAGATTGAGATCCCTGAATATAATTAACAGGTTCTCTTGTGCGCTGACTTGTGGCTAACTTTGGCCAGTGAGCAAATCTAGCACGTCAGGAGAGGAAGGAGGGGAGCAAGCTACTTTTCCTTTCCTCTCATTCTAAGGCGTTTCCCTACAGTGGCTGCAGCTGTTTCTCTCCACTGAAGGCTCATACTCTTCCCAAAGCAAGCTCTTCTTCAGAATCACTACCTGTTTTTAGCTCTTTGATCTAAAGGTGATCACACCTCTGGTGCCACCAGCCCTTGACTACTATACCACACCTGAAGTTCCTTTGTATTTTTCCACACCTTTGTAAATAACTGCCTTTCAAATAAAATACCCTCAAACTACCATCCTTTTTGGGTTTGAGTAGTACCGGCACCAACTTTATAAGACTCTAAGGATCTTTCAAGAGACACCAGATAGAAACATCTGGCACTTGCCATGGCATACTCTTAGTGTCCAGTCAACCAGGCCTTCTTGTAGGGGTATTGCTGTTATCCTGGGTCCTCATGAAAGATGACTCTTCCTCTACATGAACCATCTTAAAACTTCTTTTTCAGTTTGATTCTTGGAATAGATCTTTTTTATTTCTTTCTCTACAGTTGTGCTCCAGTGTCTAGAGAGAGCTGTTCTGCTGCAATGCTCAAATATGGCTCTAAAATATGTTGCAAATTGCAAAGCCTTTACAGAAATTCCAGGCCTGTCTCTGCTCTCAAAATGGGAGACATTATTTGTGTCCCTGTCACATAAATCTGAAAGTGTTGCTCATGCCGGCCTTTTTCTCTCAGGTTTCCTGACTCAATAGTAAGAATGGATGAGTCCAATTTTTAATCTCTTGGTTGCAGGAACAGAACAGTAAGATAACAGCCTTTGCAGATATTACTGAACAAGATCCAAACAAGGAAAGGAAGCTGCCATGCCCCTACCCTCAGCCTACGGGCCGTGGAGCAGCTCCGCTGAGGCTGAAACACAAGCACAAGATCTTGGAACAGAGTATATTTGAGGATATAGGGGCCTGTGGGACAACTCACTCCTACTTCATTCCTGCAATATATATTGATGTTTGGAAAGGACAGAGTTTAGCCCATTCTATGCCCACACCTCCAGGATGTAGAACACAAGTAAGTACAAAGAATATGCACCTTTTCATCCATTGTCCGATTTAGATCGTTCAAAAGGCCCATGGCCTCTTTTAAGAGTAGGGAAACTGAGACTTGGGAAGAGAAAATCTGTGATCAGGCTGCACGGCTGCATGATAGGGAATGTGGACTGATATGCAGACAACTGGAATCTGGGAGTGAGACTAGCTATAACGTGAGAGCTCCGGTGACTTGCTGGTTCTGTCATCTGGTGGTAGAAAGACCACAATACTCACCTTGCTGCCCAGGCTACAGCCAGTGCTAGGGCTGGCAGTGCTGTTATTCAGGAGTAAGAAACTTTATGTCAGGTGTCCTCAAGTTCCAACCCTTCCTCTGCCTTGTAAGCGCTGTGAGCCTAGGACAAGTCACTCAGTCTGCCGGGGCTTAGTCTCCCCATCTGCCCTACAGAGTCACCTTGAACCCCAGTGGGAACATTCCTCCCACACATGGGGTTGATCCACTAGCATGCACAGAGAAAGTCTTAATATTTCCATTTCTAATGTACATATTTTACCTCAAAACTAAAAAGGGGGGAAGGATTTTTCACTGATATTTAGTGTTTGCATAAACACTTTGATACCCATATTTGACCCATACATCTGCTCTGCAGAGTAGCTGCTAACACCCCCTCATTCATTCATCTGCGTTTAGCCAATTGTCATGTGTAGCAATTTATGCATGCTCAGGTAAGAGAATTTAGGGATGATACCCTGCTCTGTGACTTACAAAACATTCTTGCTAAGAATTTATTTAGTGAAAAGTAACAGTGAGCAGTCAGAAAATGGCAGAACTTGCCTTTTTTTTTTCACTTCTGTGAGAGCATTTTCAAGGGCCAATGCACAAGGCAATGCAACAATGAGACACTATGAACTGACAAAATGGTGTCCACTACCCTTCCAAAGTAGTTATCATAAGGTTGTCTGGAATATATATTCACACCATCATTAACCACAGTTATTTCTCTGTAATTCTGGAGACAGTAGCTAATGATAGTAGAACAAAAAAAGCTACCCCAGCTAGGACAACATTGCACAGCATTTATCCTAAATTAATTTCATCCTTTTGTAATTTCTTAGAATGTGTGTGTGTTTCAAAAAGGATTCAAAAAAGCACCTTTGCCATTGTGTATAGAAACGACCAAATGTAATTACACTGGTGGTGTTAGTGCTTAAAATCATTTTCGCAGAAGGAGATACAGAGTTTAAAGTGTGGAGACTCCAAGCCAATAGATAAAATACAGTAATTGACTCAAAATGCACTAGATGCTCGACAGAGTATCTGCTATTATTAACAAATTCCTATTTATTGAACATTTACTGCATGTGTTTTCCCTCTAATCTTAAAATGCCTTCATTAAGGAGCCCGGTGTGATAGCCTAGTGACTAAAGTCTTTGCCTTGCATGCACCAGGATTCCATATGGATGCTGGTTCATGTCCCAGTTGCTCCCACTTGGCATTCAGCTCCCTGCTTGTGGCCTAGGAAAGCAGCTGAGGACAGCCCAAAGCCTTGGGACCCTGCACCCATGTGGGAGACCCAGAAGAAGCTCCTGGCTCTTGGCTGTAGATCAGCTCAGCTCTGGCCATTGTGACTACTCTGGGAGTGAACTAGCAGACAAAAGAGCTTTCTATCTCTCCTTCTCTCTGTAAATCTTACTTTCTGATAAAATAATTAAATCTTTTAAAATGAATACTTTCATTATGGAAAATACCCAATACAAAAAGCAGAACAGTTTAATCCAGCTTTAACAATTACAGTCATGCTTCCAGTCTTGATTTCTCTACCCAAACTTATTTTTCCAGATCATTTTAATGTCAATCCTGTATCATTTCAACTTCAGAGAATTCAATATGAACCTCTAACTGATGAAGTCATTACATAAGCATCTTGCCATGAACATACCAGAAACAGTTAACACAAATTCACTTCCTATCACCTACTATGCTGCTATCATTAGCAACCTATTTTTACCGTCTTCTGAAAACAGAAATAGAAATATGATCAGATCATTCCAGGGCCACCCCATTTCCTTCAAGCCCCTTAGACATACCCCACACAGAAGTCACAATGCCCAGTATGACCTCCCCCAGTTCCTGTTACCTTCCCACCCATGCCCACTGTACTCCAAGTTTTCAAAATTCCTGAATCTGATGTTACCTGTATCTACCTACAGAATAGTACTCAGATAAGCCTTGGGAAGACCAGGCTGCCTTTGCAGTGGCTCTTGACCTAAAACCAAAGGTGAGTTCATGCAATCATTCACTCATCCCTCACCCTCTGGGCTCTCTGCACTCCCAGAGACTTAAGACACTTTCCTGCTTACCTTTGTAATCAGCACATTAGCTGGCACCCACTGCATAGGAAGTCTTGGTAAAGATTTCAGAAGTGGATAAATGAATTTGCCAGGACTGGGAAGCAGAGTCAACCTGAAAGGACAAGAACATTTCTGGTGTGATCTTACAGCAGGTAATAGCAACTTTCTAAATACAAGTCAAAGCATCATAATACAAGCATAATCATTATGTAAAATGAGAACATGGCTTCACACGAGGAAGCTCTGAGGAAAAGAACTTTGACCTATAACATTCACTACTCTATCTTTAGTATCTGGGAGACAGGAGGCACTCAGTGTGGATTTCTTCAATGGAAAAGTGAGTATGAAAACAGCTCAGGGATGGCCGATCTCTTTGGAGACCCAAGAGAAAAGACCCAAACCTGTTAATACTGCAATGGGCAATAGCAAGCCTATCTCATCTCACTGAGACTCTATTTCCAGTGTATAGCAGTGTGGTACCTAATAGTGTTAAATAAATTACTGTAGGATACATGAATATTTTTGAGAAATGCATGCTAACATTATTTAGTTTGAAGTAAACTAGGATTTTTCAGTGCTCTTCATGTTCTATATTAGCTCCATCCCTAAAGTTTTTTTTCAGGCCTATTTGCAAGCGTTGAATCGATTCCAACTTATCAATCAAGGTCAGATCTGTCACTGAGCATCTGCAGCCTACTCACACTACTATGAGTATGTGTGTGTTTTATGGAGATTTCTATTTTTATTGCTGCATAGTGTGTGCCAGGCTGTCTCAAATCACAAAATCATAACTGGAATACCAGGGTCTTGTAAACTATTAATAGATTGTAATGGCAGAAAAAGAAAGGTTCTTGGGACACAGGAATCTTGCAAATTGTGAATTAAACAAAAGAAAAATTCTTCAGTGCAGGGTTGCTCAAGAGCCTTTGTTACATTAACGTGAAATTACGACTCCCCTAAGAGAGAGTTTCCAAAACTATAATTCTGAAACCTATAATCCTGAAACTCATACCTGGAAGAACCCTATTTTTAAAGAAATTTCTTCATGGTATACTTTCTAACAGTCCAGAGGCTGCTTGTACTAAAAGCACATCTCTGTTTTTCAGAATACTAAACCATAAAATTTTTTGTATTTTCTTAATCACTTTGCTTACTAAAATGATTGCTCTACTGTAATGGAGGTAGGAATATATCCATTTATATCCTTCACCCACTCCTTCTAATCGTAGAAGAATAAGAATCAAGAGGTTCAGCTTTGCGGTAGGCTTGACTTAGCACAAATTTCAGTTTTGCCACTTAACAATTATATAACATACTGTGAATTAATTCTATCCCAGCTTTGGTTTTTTTTTTTTCATCCGTAAGACTAAGAACAATGATCTAGTAGAGAAACTACATGGCCCTGACGGTAGGCAATATCTTTCATAGGGCATGGCAGGCTTGGCACATAGTAGGTGATGATTCATTCTCATAGTATCAGGCATTGATAGAGACAGTAGATATAAACCATGAACAAGATGACCAGAAGTTCCTGACCTGAGGAGATGCTAGTCTAGCTGACAGAAAGTTCTACAGTTTGGGTCCCCAGGTGGGGAGCCAATGGTACAGCCAAGGGAGAGTATCAACACACTAGGACAATGGCAAGTGCTATTCACAGGAAGTCTGCTAATGAGTCTTGGCTTAAACAAAAAAAGCTGTAAGTGGTCCTATTGCCAAAATCCACCCAAAAGCTTCTGAGTGCTATAGCCCAGGCAGTAACAGGGCAGATGCCTTGGTCTCTCTTGTTCTTCTGTACAGTGGAACCAGAGAAGAAGAACATCTGTACAGCCCCACATCAGGGTACCTCAGGACATATAAGCCATTCAGCCTCCTGTGAGGACCAAAGGCACAAAATGAGACCATTCAAGCTGAGCTCACATATTACACAATGAAATCTCCACATCCAGTGCTGGAGGGTGACCCCTAAGACATCTGTGCACAATGAAGCCAAGCCAGGAGTCAGGAGCCCTGTTCATTCTAAAGAGGCTTGGGTAACTTTACAAAAATGGTGGTGAAGTCCTCAATGAGCAGGTGTTCAGTACCTTCATTAGTCCTTGTCTCTTAAAAATGGCTCCTGTATCTCATCTATGCCCGCTTCTCTGGAAGAGGAAGAAGTCTGACTCTAATTATGCTTGCTTTTCCTCCCTTTGCTTGCATCCCTCCCGCCGCAGCTTTCTCACAGGCATTAGGTATCTAATTGTGCATGCCACTACTCATTGTGCCCAGGGCTTAAGCAGGGGCTGCCGGCTCTAGCTATTTCACTCTGCTGGCTGAGCATGCTGATTCTCGTCCTGCCTGCCTCATGAATCACTGTTCTGCCTGTTCTCCTAATTGTTCTGAGCTAGGGAGGGAGATCTTAGCAAACTCCAGGAGAAGGTGCAATATTTAGTTTGCACCCAGTAAAGAATACAACTGTGTGTGCTTCCTTTGTATGCCAATTAGCAGCATATGGTGAAAGTCAAATGCACTAATAAAGTTATAAAGAAATAGAAGGGCTAGGGAGACAATCATTGCTTACAGGCACAGGCAGGAGGGCATGCTGCTAACATTGCATTTTCCCGAACAGATTGTCTGAACACCTGCAGGCATTCGAGGACCGTCCTCTCAAGCACCCTCATCTATGTCTCTTTCAACTGGATCACCATAATTCAGCTAGAGGTATGGTGTTTAGATTGGAGAGGCTATAGACACAAGTTTCATCTCACACCAGGGGCTGCATGGATCACTGTGTTGAGAAGGATTCTGAGCCTGCACTGGCACTTGGTGAATATGGAGGCAGTAAATAAGAGGTGATGTTTGTCTAGAGGTCAGGGAGAGGAGGGAAAATGCATATGTGAATATGTTAACACATCTGCTGGTGGACACAGCCCTGACTGAAGATCCTGTGGTCCTGAGGAAGGCATTCACTTTCCTTGGGCTCAGTTTCCTGATGTGAAAATTCAAGGTGGTGTCATGTGTCCCTTATCAGGCCTTGCTTAAGATTAAAGCAGTGAAGTGAATCAAATGTTTTCAGAACCATCACCAGTTACACAATTATGAAGTCCTGTAAGTGAAAAACTTTTTATACACAAATAGCTTTGTGTGGATGTGTGTGTGTACATGCATTTACTTCTCTGATGCTCCAGGAAAAGTCTTTAATGCTTTAAACCAGATCAATCCTTGCAGGGGCTGGCTTATATTTTGCAGGATGTGCAGTGATGCCATCAGTGCACCTCCAACAGCTATGACAACCAAAACGGTATCCAGACATGGTCAAACATCTGCTGAAGGCAAAATGGCTCTTGGTTGAAAACTCTCAGCCTAAATCAACATCTTCCCTCGGAAGACACAGTGGACTCACCCTTGGAGTCTTGAAGCCCTATTAGTACCTAGTCCCAAGTGCCCACTAAGAGGAGTCTTACTTAATTGGCCTGAAGTGGACTGGGCACTGGTATCTCTCTCGTACACATCCCAGAGCTGACAACCTGTCTGTGACTACACAGGACCTCCTCTCCTGTGGCTCTGTGAGCCTTGCCATAGATGGTGCCTAATGCATGCAGCTATGTGCTTCTGGGGGCAGGCCAAGATCCTCCCAAATCAGTGAAAAAGTGCCTTATGCTTCCAGCCCAATATGCAACTTTTCTTCCCCCATCGAGTCACAAAGTTCCATTTTTGTTTAATGAGCCCATGAACAGTTTATCCTTAAACAGATGATTGGGGTGGACATGACAAAGGAGATGATTAAATGTGATGGATATCCATGCATGTCCATCTCAAGGCAGTTCTTCAAAGGCCATGGCAACCCTAACATCTCTTTGATGAAGAGGAGCAAGACAGAAACATAACAGGTAACATATGACTGGGTACCAATGGTAAAATTAAAGGCAAACATTGTTGATGAGCTTACTAGAGCCTGAAGTATTGAAGCACAATATTAGCCTTGGTGGAAAATAACTTCATTGAAATATGTCCTTCCTGCTACACAGCTTTCCTAAGGCTCTCAAAGCAGTCTGTCTCTCTCAGTGTCTCACTCTGTCACCAGACATTTTCAATAGAACGTACAGGGCAGAGAGTTTGGGAATGAAGTGAAGGATAATTGAAGTCTTGCCTTGATCTATTGTTACAACTGAGTAGGCAAAAACTCAGTCCCTGTGTGGACCCTCACAGAAACCCTTCTGCTCCTGGGGCTCTCTCAGCAGTCAGTCAATCAACACATGCTTACCCAATGCCTGCCATAAACAAGACACTGTGCTAAGCTCTCCAGGGAATACAAAGATGGATAAGACACAGACCCTGCCTTCTAACCGCTTGTAGTCTACCTAGGGACTTATAAAAACACAATCAATAATGTGGAGGGGTTCCGACTATACTCCAAAAAAATGACACTGGAGAGACACTGAGCCAGGGGGTTCACATGAAACCAAATAAAAATTGTACAGAGAGACCCAGCCATTTCGCTGGGCCACTGGAGTTACTTCTTTCAAGTTCATTTGCAGAGGGTTGTTGGGACCCTGAATGAAGACGGAAAACACCTGCTGGAGAGTCTGAGGCTAGAAATAAGATGGACTGGTATCTGACTCCTCTTTTGACCCAGCAATCTGTTTTGTCTGTGAAGCAGAGACTAGAGCTGTACAGTAGCACTGTGTGGATGGCAGGGCCAGCTTCAGTCACCAAGTAATGAGCGCTGACAGGATCAGCAGTGCAGAGAGGGGGCAAGGGGCTCTTGCCTTCCACTCTGGGGCAAAAGCAACCTCAGCATAGTTCTGTTTTCCAGAAGAGAAAAATAGGACCCCAGTAAGTGCCAAGGATGTAACAAACAAGTTCCTGGAGCAGAACAGCCTGAGCCTGCATAAGATGCATTGGGACTCTTGGACTCACTCAGTGTATTCATGCAACGCTCTGTCAGCAGATATCTTGTTTTCGGCAGGAATTTGGGAAAGCTGTGTGATATCCATGAGTAGCAGAAGTAATGGGAAGTAAGCAGAAGACACACAGACTTGAACATCAGGAGGAACAGCTTTGAATATGTTTAGCTATAAAAGGAGTATGAAATGAACAGGGCTGCAAACAAGCAGCACCACACAGGCAGAGACC